TTTCCAACTCTGTATTTCTTTAGTCAGTCACTGCCAGTTCCACAGGTATTAGCAGACCCTGCCCCTGGGGCGGGACCCCAACAATGTTGGTTCTTGTACTTTCCTATAGAAGTTTATTTCCAGTAGAACTAATTTTAGCAGGCATGACTAAAAAACCATAAGTCAAGCTTGTGCTTGTATTTCGTTATAAGATCAATCCACAGACTGATAAAATGTCAGAAAGGACAGGGAAATGATATGGTGAAGCGCCCTCATCCAAATTTTTAGGACCATATTTTTAATGCTACACACATATGGCAGACATGCCAAGATTGCATGTTTTAGGAAAATGTTAGGGCTCTATTCTCATCCATGCATCAGCACTGTTTTAGAAGTTTCTGAGTATTTCTGACATCCACAAGTGATGACAGAAAATCAGAATAGAGTTATACGAATATCCCCAATGGAGAACAAAGTACTTATATAGACATTCCAAGCCCTAAGGAACTAAAGACAGCCTCAGTATTAGTACTTAACTGATCTTGCAAAGTTCACCTGCAGAGACTTCCACACATTTCTCAGAGGTGTCAGCTCACAGAGGGATTCCTGGGAGTGGTTTCCAAAGCCCTGAGTTTGTTGCAAACCCAGTGATAATCAAGATAGTGTTGAAACACACACTTTGGAGTCAATCAAAAACGGACTGAAACCCTGGCTCTCCTCCCACTTGGTGGTTGTGTGATATTGGATAAATTGTTCTCTGAAGCTCAACGAACTCACCTATAAAAAGGACAATACCATTTTCTTCCTAAGGCCTTAACTGCTCAATCTATAATAGCTGTCATTACCGATGTTCTTATTTACTAAGAAAGGGACTCATCCACAGTAGGAAAAACCTATTGCTGCAAAATAATTTGTTATATGAGATATATCACTGACCGTGACTGGGTAGGAAATAAGAAGTCTTTAGGCCCAGGCCTTCATCATTAAATGATGCCTCAGTGTCCCTCCTAGGCGTGAACCAGCGATGCCTTGCTGGCAAGTCCCAGGGAAGATGTTAAGCATCAGAACTGCACATCCTGCATGGGACTAAGAAAGTTTAGCCAAAATTTTTCCTCCTATCCTGGCTAATAGGTAGACACTACGCAAGTCAAGCTTCTTCTCAACAGAACTTGTCCTAGGGAAATCTCTGAGGCAGCTCTCCAAGACCAGGCAAAGGTACGTTCCACAGAGCCTGTCACCCTGGGCTGATCCTCAGAGGGTGGACTTTGATAAGGGACATCCAAGGAAATCTAAGACCTGTCATACCTTTCCCAGGTTTTCCAGGTAGAGAGCAAGAATAAACAGTAATATGTCAGGCACCATCTGCCATTTGAAAGATTTTGACAAGTGGGAGGGTCAATAAATTCAGCAGACTTCTGACTGTGCTATAAAGTTGGTGTTAAGCTGGTCATCTTTCTTTCAGAAAAACTTTTTTCTCCTCTTTCATGACCTAAGCCAACAGGTTCACAGACCCTCCCATCTTCTGTATCCTCAAAGCTCAGAAGCAGCCAAAACGCCCAAATAGCAGAGCCTGGTTCCTGGAACTCTGCAGAATGAGGTTTAAACTATTCAGATGTTTCTACCTGCAGGGTGGAAAATCTCCAATAGAAATCAATCTAAATTCTTCCCCAAAGCATAAAATCCACAGGCCTCAAGAGGCCCAGCTGGAAACTCCATAAATTATTGTGTTTCTTTTATATGTCTATTACCTCTTGATTCTATTTTTTAATCATTTTTATTTTTTTGTAGAAATTGTGCCTCATTATGTTGCCCAGGTTGGTCTTGAAGTCCTGGCCTCAACCTCCCACTTCAGCATCTCCAAAGTACTGGGATTACAGGATAAGCCACCAACCACCTCCCAATTCTAATCCCAATGTACTTTAGGCTCCCTTCAAAAAAATTTGATTCCAAAAATAAAACACAAAAAACTTAGGAAAATTTGTAACTTGGGGTTAAAACTGACATTTTAATAAATCCAAGAAGTTAGATACCTGAAGGCAGCAAGAGAATCCAAAAATGGGTAACTTGAACATTAACTCCCCACACCCCAAAAAGCAGAGGCAGAATGGAATGCATTTGTTCAAAGGAAAATTTCAATTCACATTTTTCAAAGTGAGCTTCAAAACGTCAAAGACTTCTAAAAAGCGTCAAACTCACACCATCAGAGTAGACGGGTGGTTTCCAGGGCTGGGGACTGGGCAGCAGAGAGAGATGCTGGTGAGAGGGGACAAACTTTCAGCTGTAAGATGAGTAAGTTCTGGATCTAATGTATATCATGTGACTATAGTTAATAACATAACATATACTTGAAGCACACTAAGAGACTAGATCCTAAGCGTTATCACCACACGCACAAAAATGGTACCATGTGAGTTGATGAATGTGTTTGTTAATTAGCTCGACTGTGGTAGTCACTGCACAAGGTGTACATGTATCAAATCACCAGGTTGTACACCCTAAATATATATAATTTTTATAAATTATACATCAGTAAAGCTGGGGAGAAAAGGAAGGTCAAACACCAGCACTGAATTCTCAAATATAGGCATGTGTTGCATTGTCTTGGAGTGAAATCTCAGCTGAGAAAGCCTGAGCACGGTAAATGCATCCACAATAAGAACAGTTCTCCCGAAACCTTAACATCTTTGGGTCAGAAGGGAGTTGGGAAGTGTTGAGTCTAACCTCTCAGGCGTACACAGTCCCACCATGTGTGTCTAAGTGGTAATCTAGCCTCTGAGTAATCCTGGTTCCTTAAATCTGCTGCAGGTATACTGGCATGATGGAGACGGTTACAACTGAGAAAGCAGAATAGCGCTAGACAAATGCTCTTTCTCTGCTAAAGCAAAATGCTTTGTTTCATTCTAAATAGTAAAAGCTCCTCCCTCTGGACCTCAGTCATCCTCTGCCCACGCCCGTGCCTGAGGAGCTATTTGCATGGACTGACCAGAGTCTGCAAATTCTCCACTCCAATCCCATCCAACCTTCCCCAATCCCAGCTTTCTATTCTTTGAAAACTCTATGAATAATGTTCCTGCATCAGTTTTTACTAGAGCCAATCACCTGTCATGCCCGCAACAGGGTTCATACCCAAATTGCCCTTAGCCCCAATAATCACGAAGTGCACAACTATTTTTAAAAAATGGGAGCCAGGGGATCAAAGCTCATGAACTCAAGGAGCACAACAGACACATCACAGGTATTGACTGGGCTCCCAAAAGCAACCACATCATCTCTTGTGGGGCAGACCACAGTGCCTATGTCTGGAATCAGAAAGATGGTGTCTGGAAGCCAACCCTGGTGATCCTGAGAACTAATAGTGCAGCCACTTTTGTGAAGTGGTCCCCCTTAGAGAACAAATTTGCTGTGGGAAGTGGAGCACGACTCATTTCTGTTAGTTACTTCGAGTCTGAAAATGTCCGGTGGGTTAGCAAACACACTAAAAAGCCGATTCGCTCCACAGTCCTCAGCTGGATTGGCATCCCAACTATGTTTTGCTGGCAGTGGGAGTCAAGTGACTTCAAATGCAGAGTGTTTTCTGCCTGTATTAAAGAAGTGGATGAAAAGCCAGCCAGTACACCCTGGGGCAGCAAGATGCCTTTTGGTCAGCAGATGTCAGAGTTTGGGGGCAGTGGCACAGGAGGCTGGGTCCATGGGCTCAGCTTCTCTGCCAGTGGGAGCCGCCTGGCCTGGGTCAGTCATGACACCACCATGTCTGTTGCTGATGCTTCAAAAAGTGTACCGGTCTCAGCTCTGAGAACAGAGTTCCTGCCACTCCTGTGTATGTATCATTTGTCTCGGAGAATAGCATTGTGGCTGCTGGCCATGACTGCTGCCCAGTGCTCTTTAACTACAATGACCACAGCTGCATGACCTTTGTGTCCAAGTCAGACATTCCAAAACAGCATCCAGCACAACGTGTCTGCCATGGAACATTTCCGCAACGTGGACAAGCAGGCCAGGACCGCATTACAGCCCTGGAGACGCTGTGCCAGAATAGCATCACTTAAGTGTCTATTTATGAGATGGACAAGCAAGATTGTCACAAATTTTGCACTACTACCATCGATGGAGCTGTGACAATTTGGGATTTCAAGACCTTGGAATCTTTATCCAGGGCCTCCTGATAATGTGAAGCTGAGTGAGCCTCTGCCATCCAGCACGACAAACAGTCGCTGACTGCAGCTGCCATTGGATGGTGGGGAAAGCCAGCCCCAAGGAAACACTGAAAACACATATCATGCAAATACTGTGTGGTTTTGTTGAGTATATTGGTGATAGTAGTGGGTTTTTTAAAGCAGCAGTGATTTTTCCTTTTTTTTTTTTTTTTTTTTTTGGCTACTGCATTCCATTCTTGACCAAAGCTTCTCTTTCAGTAGTTTATTATGGAGAGCTGTCCTAACTTAAAGGAAAGGGTGAGGGAGATATGTAAATTTGTCCACTAGAAAATTAAATTAAAATACTGAAAAAAAATAAATGCTCCTGATGGCATACTATTTTAAAAATACATATTTAAGAGTATGAAAGACTTGGGCAGTGCCTGCGGCTCAAGGAGTAGGGCGCTGGCCCAATATACTGGAGGTGGTGGGTCCCCTCCAAAAACTGCAAAAAAAAGTGCCAACAAAGCTGGAAGAGGTGGGGCCCCATCCAGTAAGCTCCTTAGGAATGTGACGCCAGCTAACTGGGCATTTATGTGAAGTAATAATGAAAAAATAAGATAAGTAAAATTTGAAAAGGAAAATAAATGTATGTATTCCTTTTTATGATTCCTCGTACCCAACCTCTGGGATTAAATGGCATTATTAGCAAAGCAAAAAATTCTTTACACGTTTTGCATACTGTACCTACATATAGGTGTGCTAACTGAGCACACACATATGTGCGTGTACACACATGTCATCTGTGTGCATGTGTGGGCACATGTATCTGTGTGCATGTACGTGTGCTTTCCACATATCTAGTTCACCCACTGGGTAATAGCCTACCTGCCACTGGTTTCCTGCCTGACTAGGCACATAAGGTGACGGGAGGCTCCGAAGGCTGTTCTTCACAGGGGACCCTCCAAGGGGACTTCCCACATCCCCAGGAGAGGAATCAGCAGCCAAGGCCATGGAGTACTGCGGATAGTTGTACAGATTGTTGTAGTAAGGAAACAGAGAGGGCTGGTAAAAGCTGCTGTAGTAGGTGGAGTCAGAAACCAGGTCAGGTGCGTTCTCCACATGCCCTCTGCTGGTGACAGAAGGAATATCCTGGATGACCATACGTCCCTCTAAAAAGGAAAAAGAGAAAGACATGGTATTAATGTGGGGATCCACAAATCTTTACCCCTAAATCTTGGCGACGCATCAGCTTCCTCGTCAAGATTTGCAGAGCCACGTACCTAAAGAGCAGGGGTGACACTGCGTGCTGCGGCTCCTGTGGCCAGGGTAAGGGAGGGTTCCTACCGTAAGCTTCACTCTGGTGGCACAGCCAAGACCTTTGCCGATTATTTTTATTGAGATTACCAAAAACATTTTAGAAATCAGTTTAATCACATAAAGCTGACAATGTAACTTCTACCCAGAAATTCCTATGCTAATATATCAAGAAACTGAAGGTCCATTCTAGTCAACCTGACAGCACATTCACACAACAAAATCAACTGTACTTTACTTGGATAAAATAAACAAGTAGCTCAGCACCCTAACCATGGCAGCCACATAGATATGTCGCAAAGCCAAAGCCAAGAGGTTAAGAGTTTAAGCGAACATTGTTTCCTTAAACATTGTTCCTTCTACAGCTGATACCATTATCTTCAGGAGTCTGGACAAGGGTATGGTCCAGAGGGAGACAAACTTCTGTAAGAGGTCAACTGGAAATTATTTTATGTTTTGGGGACCATTCAGTCCCTGCTGCAGTGTGTTTGCACTGCAGTAAAACTTTATTCACAAAACAGGCAGTGGGCTGATTGGGCCTCAAGGCTACAGTTTGCCAGCCCCTGGTGTAGACTCCATTAGAGTTAATTCTCATAGACAACTGAATGAATTCCTAAGTCATCCACCCAGAGTGGACATTTGCTAAACAATGTTCTAACAGATAATCCAGCTGCCTAGATGGGTGCATGGTGTTAGGCTGTCCTGCCCGAGGAGTCCACAGTGGAGGGCAAAAGACCCAAAGGAGTTACAAATACTGCCCTGGCCCTTCATCACACAGGAGTACCCACGAACTCCCGTGGAAATTCAGAGGAGGGTGTGATGACTTGCAGTCTAGGAAAGAACTCATAACAAAAACTGCATCTGAGTTGTACCTTAAAGGAGAAGCAGAAAATCGGTAAAACGAGAAAAAGAGAGGAAGGCGAAAGAGGCAGCAAAGACAAAGGCATGGAAGCTAGGAGGTGATAGGGAGAGTGTGGAGTGATGTGCAGGGCAGTCGGGAGGACCAGCTGGGTGAAAAAGGGGACAAGGAGGTCCAGTCTGAAAGGTGGCTCAGGCAAGCAGAGGGGGGCCTTAGTCCAGCTCTATGGACTCTCTTTGGGATCTAATAGGAACCACTGAGGAGTTCTGAGTAGGGAGGTTTCAGATCAGAGCTGTGCTTTGGGGGGATCTATCTCATAGCAACCTTTAAGTGGAGGGGAAAGAGGTCAGAGGCAGGGAGACTCACTACGGACCTGAGGGAGTAGCTCACGGAGAGACCTCAGAAGGCTGCAAATGTACAGGAAGGGCCTGTCCTGGGGACATGTGTGGGATGAGACTCACCAGAACTGGAGGGCTGGGGACTATCACCAAGCTATGGGGTGGGGGGGTGCACAGAGCAGAGGCTGGGTGTGGCAGAGGACAGGGAGGGCACACAGGTGTCAGGCTGGATGCTCTGCTCCTGGGAGAGACTGAGGCTGGAAGCTGAGATCCAGGAGTCACATGGAGAAACTAAAGTAGCTGCATCTTTTTTATAAGAAAAAAGAGAGCCAAGGCCAGCACTGTGGACAACTCAATGTCACAGAGGCCAAAACTAACTTGTATCATAGAGGAGGCAGGCTGCAGTGTCAACTGCTGCTAGGAGATCAAGCTAACTTAGCTCCAGAAAAGACCAAGAGAAGACTAGTCCTTAGGGCCTATGGTTTTACACTAGTAGAAAGAACATAAGCCGGCTGCCAGAGGGCAAGGAGCAAGCAAGCAACAGGAAATCAGAGATGAATGCGGTGGACGGCCCTCTCTCCCGCCAGGATGTGAGATCCGGCAAGAAGGCACCCTGCCTCCTGGTGCGTCACTGGGTCCCCTGCTATACAGTCTCAGTACACTGCCACTCACAGGGTTGAGGGTTGGTAAACATTTGCCAGAGGGATCAATGAACATCTCCGGTCCCTTGGAATAAAAAATAACGTAAGTTAAGAATAAAAGCTCCAGGGAGTCATAAGAGCTTGTTATTTTACTCTTAAAGCAGAGAGGTTTAAGCATCCCTAGGCAGGGAGAGGGGGCTCATGAAGAAAAATTCCCAGTATAATTCATGGCCCAAAGAAGCCCATCAAAAGTGTCTGCTGGCTAAATGTGTGGAAGGAGAGAGAGAAAACACAAAAGGGAGGGCTTAACTGTAAGTGCAGGTTCCGAAAGGTCTGGGTAAGAGTGCGGCAAAAGGTATTTTTAGTCAGCCCTGGAGTCTCTTTCCTCCGAAACTATATACATCAGTACACATGCACCCATCTTAAGGTCCTGTAAATGCACTGCCAAGCCACGACTCGACTCTATTTTTTCCCCTTCTTCTCTCTTCCACTTCCCCACCAGGAGATGAGACATGCCAGTTTCATTATTCCACACCCCAACTCTCCGGGTCTGGAGGGGGCATGTGTTCATCCTCTCCTCTTGCACTCTCTCATTATAAACACCCAATTTGGTGGCATAAGGAGTAGTTTTCAGGATTTAATTCTTTTGTTTTCAATGTTCTGTTTGCACTGTTAATTTGATTACAAAAACAAAACAAACTTCTCAAAATTTGGTAAATCATATAGACGTCTAAATCAGAAAGAATGAACGACATATTTCTACCTTCCAGAAATAAGCAATGAGAGCATGGTTCATTCCAAACCCTTTTAGGAAGGCATTCTAGATGCTCTTCCTCTCCCTGAAGTGGAAACACGAAATACCCCTTAGGGCCTGGGCCTGCCCTTTAAAAGTCAAGTTTTTGATAAAACAAAACACAGCAACAGCCAAAGAATTAAATAGAAACATGAAGACCCCAGCATTCTAGGAATAGGGCACAGCACAGACTCCTGAGTTTCTGCATCATAACCTTTCTCAGCCTCAGTTTAGCAAGCACCAAAATGATGGCAGTAATAATTCTCAAGGTAACAAGAGAATGGCTTCAATAAACTGCATAGTAAAGCTCAAATAAAACGCTATGTCAGGTCAAAGCCATGATTGGTTTGCTACAGCTGACTGTAATTAATTAATACCATCACTTTTCCACTTACCCATCTTTTATTTCCTCTTTCAAATTATAACAAGCTTTTTTTTTGAGACAGAGCCTCAAGCTGTCACCCTGGGTAGAGTACTGTGGCATCATAGCTCACAGCAACCTCCAACTCCTGGGCTCAAGTGATTCTCCTGCCTCCGCCTCCCAAGTAGCTGGGACTACAGGCACCCACCACAACACCTGGCTATTTTTTGGTTGCAGCCGTCATTGTTGTTTGGTGGGCCAGGTTCAATTAGAACCCGCCAGCTCAGGTGTATGTGGCTGGTGCCTTAGCCGCTTAAGCCATAGGCGCTGAGCCTATACCAAGCTTTTTTATAAAAAATTTAAGACTAAATACAAGAAACATGTTGGAAAAGGTGTTTCATGAAAGCCCTTAAATAATAAAACTATTTGAACTTGATTAAGAGTAGTGCCTACCCATTTTATAATCTTTTTTTTTCCATTTTATCATCTTAACATGTGTAAGCATTCTTAAACAGTGAGACTTTTAAAAGTAATATATGTATTTATAAACCACTGAAATCTGTATGTTAAAGTTCTAAATTAACATTCTTGGTCAATGTTAAGAACAACTTTATGATTCCCAGTCCTGAAGTCCATGCTACTAGTATGTGAAAATTTCCCCAAGTTGAAATAAACAACCATCCATCAAACTACGCACCTAAATCAGCAGCATCAGCAGCATCTGGGAACCTGTAGACATGCAAATCCTGGGTCTCACCACAGACCTACTCAATCTATATTCTGAGGGTGGAAACCAGTAATGTGAGTTTTTAATAAGCTCTAAGGAGACTCTCATGTCCTCCAAAGGTTAAGGACCATTGGTCTACTCTAAAAATTTAAAGCAACTGCTCCATACATCATCTCTAAAAATATGACACCAGCATGCCCCTCACTGCATTACTGTAACAGTTCTGACTATCAAATCAGAGTTCAAAAATGAATTCCATTGTCTAAAGAAGTTGGGCTTCTCCTTACATTACTACAGAACTCAGATCACGAGTTGTGTGTGCTATGTCTGTGTTCATGCCAAATGGTTCTGATCTTAATGGCTTCATCCAACTTTTTTTCATTATTCTAACCACAAAAACTTAACTCATCTATTCAAGCATTTATTCTGTTTGACAAGCACTTATTAAGCACCCATTTGCCAGGAACCTAGGTACACCACTGCAGCACCAAACTCAATAACCCTCATAAGGTTTCTGGACAATGTGGAGAAGCAGGTAACATAAAGAATCACTTATTTTTGACCTTAAGTTATATTTAATATTTACATTTGATTCATTCACTTATTGTCTTTTTTTTTTTTTTTTTTTTTTGGCCATGGCTGGGTTTGAACCCACCACCTCCAGCATATGGGGCCGGCGCCTTACTCCTTTGAGCCACAGATGCCGCCCCCAGTCACTTATTCTCATATAAAAACTATGCCCAAAGCTTTGCTCTAGCTGTTGTTCATGACAAAAATACTTTAAATGTTTCATTTCTTCTTCTATTTGGGAATACTAGGCATAGACCAAGAAACCTACAAAGCAATAATCTAAGTGCCACAGTGCAGGTAGATAATGGAGTGTCAGCAAAGGCCTCGGGGGTGATGAGCCAGGACGGAGGTGATTTAGATGGGTAAACACACCAAAAAGGATATTAATAGAGTCGTGAAGGAGGTCAACAGAGTCACAAGGAGGGAAAAGGACAAAATACGTTCCAGGGACAGTGAGCAGATGAGCCTGGCCAGAATGTAGAGTTCACATTAAGAGATAACGGTGAGTGGGAATGGTAACTTATGTTACCATTGGTGGTTTGAAGGGAATTTGTCCAACATCAGAC